TGCGAAATCTCAACTATGTATGACGTAAATAACGAATAGTCCGTGCGATTATTAATAATCTTCGCGTAAATTTTTATTTGTCAGTCAACGATACAAAAATCCTGCGAAAAATATTCTCCCGAAAATATTTTACAATTCCTTTTTCGCGTCGGTAATTAAACTTTACATAAATCAAAACGTAAAGTTCAAATATTATAGAAGTACGCCCTTTTAAAATAAAAGGTGCCACGATTTATGAATAGAGATAACAGATACACAAAGACTGCAATAACTTCATTGGGTGATGAATTATTGCGTTCATTCGAACGACGAGACAGGAAACAGTAAGTAATGTTTTGCAACGCAACTAGACTCGATTCCATAGAGAAATCACGTCTAATAGACTTATCGCAAGCTGGCCTACATATTGTAGATAGGCTCTTTATTATGTATTTAATTATGTTATTTCTAACACAGACGGATATTTCAATGGAAACGAAAGAAACGAAAAGAAAAACGTAAGTTAAAAAAAAAAAAACACGATAAGTTTGGTATTATTTTTTACGTTTTAAAGTTCAGTGATTCAGACACAGTTATCTCTAGTATTTCTTTATTAAACACAATCGTAAAGAAAAATAAACTTTAAGTTTTTTGACCAGAGAAAAAGCTTCTGAGAGGAAGGAATAAATTTCTTTGTTAATAAATGGAAGAAATATTAACTTAATATCTGGTCAAAATGAGGAGTGAAGCAAGATCAATAGTCAATAACTTTCTTGAGAAAAATAATTAACTTTCTTTTTATCGAGAAATATTAAATATTAAGTTTGTTATATGAATGATGATATGCGCCGAAGGAAACGAAATAACGACCGAAGTGTTTATCGACGTTGATCGATCGCTTCGTTTAACGTGGCTAAACACACCAGAATTTTCCATTAAATATTCGACTTCGTAATTCTATATTTTCCATAATGATTTACTCTCTGTCACATATTTAACAAATTAAACATTAACCTGCAATTAATCATGCTTCTATTGGCACGGATAAATATAAAACGATCGAAACGATTGATTCGAAGCATTAGGAAGCAAAATTAATAATAAATTAATAAACAAGTTAATAAAATTAGACGATAAATTAATAGTAATTAGTGCGTGTTAGTCAATAAATGGGGAGAAAATCAATTAATTAAAATGTTAACAATGTTAGCGAAATAAGAAACAAAGGGAAATTAATATCGAAGAAATAATAATTACCATTTACAGCGGCGGATCACTTTAAATGTCCGATGAACGTAAGACACGTGCAAAGAATTGAAACTAAAAAGAGAAACAAAGCGAGAGAGTTAAAAAAAAACTATCGAACAAAGACTAGCAAACTGTAATTGACAATTGATTATCCATAGTTATTTCTTAGCCTGATTGCTAAATCACAGTTTAAGAATTTCTAACGAGAATTCGATTCGAAGTGAACAGGGAGTTTCTGATTTCGAGCAAAAGATTTGATAACTGAGATATTCTTCGTTACTTTCTCAGACCGTTTCGTGTAATAATTTCATAATTTTATACAAATGTCAGTTTGTATATAATAATAAATTGCTAGTTTTCAGATAATTTAATTAATGATGTTAATTAATTTTCCTGGCCGTAATTTTCTGTGATTTGTCACCGCACTTGTTCTGTGATTGAAATGGCAAAAAAACGGTAATTGAAAAAGACAGAAAAATTGTATTTCGTTCAATGGAAAAGAATAAGTCTTCGATTTGTACTTACATTATTATAAGAATAATATAATACGATATAATAATGTACATCAAAATGTCAAGAAATATAATAACACTCGTATTATTTAATCTTCGATAGTTTACATTTTACGCGAGATCTAACTGCTGAATATTTCGATCCAAATTTTTATTCTTCTCGAAAAAATAACTTGAAAGCTGGTCATATAATATAATAAAGATATATAATATATTATATTCAGGATTTTTTTTTTCATTCTTTAAAAGTCTAGGAGAGTAAAAAGATAATATGTTGCCCACGGAGAATTAATAAAAAATTTAAATTTTGCTATAAAAGGATGTATATCGTCTTCTTACACACACACACACACACATATATATATGGCTCTTAAAAATTTAATCAATATATTCACCATATTTTCTCTCATATATTACACAAGTCTCTGATCTTTTTTTTTCAAACCACGTGTAATAAATTCGCCTATCTAATTTTTTCTTAGTACATAACACCATCGTATTAAGTGAAAAGTTTTTGCTCCCCTTGACCCCTTGACATACGAATTTCTTCTGCAATACCCAGAAGAAAATTTACCGGTGAGCTTTGTTGAAGTAGATAACTTAAAATATAAATACCTAAGAGTTGAAAAGAGTCATATCGAGCGTGTAGGAAAATATTTTTTATGTACATATTATATTAACGACTTTGGGAAAATTGGATAACGACTTAGCAAACGCATGTCTGCCAGACGTCATTGTAGGTCAAGAGATTAAATCAACCTGGTAACACGCAGAGATAATTCATCTGTCTAAAAGAGAGCTATAACTGCGTTGAAATCGAAGATATATATATTTTGGATATACATGAAATTGATGCTCTCGCTCGCTTAATTAATATTGAAACTTGTTTTTTTCTAAAAAAAAAAAAAAAAAAATCATCTTTCGATCAGATAAACCTACTTGAACACGACGCTTAACGAACAGTGGTTTCGTGTTAAAAATATAGATTCAATGCAGTTTCAATAGACTGTATGGATTTGCTCTCTATGCAAGACAGAGGACGAAGTATTTCACGAAACGAAAATGTAGAGTGGCAAGTTTCGGAAGTTCGCCTGTT